CCTATTCTTGCTACTTTGAAGCAATAATGATGTGACCTTGGATTAACTCTCTTCAGAAAAAAAATTTGGTGTTTTAAAAAGAACATGGATTTGAAGGCAGACAAATTCATGTTACAACCCCCAAATCTTTATCTTACCAAGTGTGTGACCTTGGATAAGTCCTTTAATGGCTCCAAACATCAGGCTTGTATTTTATAAAATGGAAATAGTCATGCAAGCTTGAGAATAAAATATTATGACATTTATGTAGCAAGGTCACACATTTATTCACACTGCTCTAAGATACATGAAAGAGACATAGCTTCCTCATAGTCTGTTGGTCTTAGCTTTCTCTAAACATCTTTTCACCTCCTTGGGTAAAAAATAAAAAGCAATATTAGCATAATATAATAAACCTAATCTCACCAAATAATTTAAACACTTTTTTTTAGATAACTACATTTCCTTTGGAAGAATTATCCTTTCATATTTTTCCTCGTTTCTTCCCAAACAGGACATAAGAATGAGGAGGTAGGAGCTGATGCTACCTCATGGCACTGTGTGGTTGAGGGGTCCTTGCCTTGGATGTGTCGCATGTAGAAGAAAGTTTTTCACTTACAGTAGCATTTGCCTACAACATATCAAAACTGTTATGTTTCATGCCAACTAGCTCCAACCTCCTGAAATTGATAAGAAACTATGAAGTCTGAGTAACTCTGGGATCCTAGACCTTCTTGAGCCAGGTTAAAACACCTTCACAATCACCAAAATCCCGGTTTGTTTTAACCAACTACAAGTCCAGTCATGGACTCAATCCTTCCTATCTAGCATGTTAAAATGTAGTAAATACAGCCACCATGGACTCCCTCTCCTTCCAGAGAGGGGTTTAAAAACTCCAGATTTTTTTCCCCTCAGTAAATTTCTCCACTAATGTGTGTTTTAGTTTTTGACAGTGTGTGGGTCTCTTCCAAGGTGAAGATATAACCTTACCTAATACAATTTCTAAATCTATTTATAGTGTTTGTTGAGAAACTCTGCACGTGGGGCACTTTGGACCTGTTTTCTCTCAATTGCGTCAGGAACTGGTGGTCTTTCCTAATGATTTGGCTCATCAAGGCCTTGAAGCCCGCTGCAGACTCCATTTCCTTTCCTGACCCTGGCACCAGGTCCACTTTCCAGCTGTTACACAGCGTCCCTTTACCTGAAACCTTGATGATATGCCAGCAAAGGTGCCAGTCAGATCCTGAGTTGAGTTGTACATCCTTCCCCAGCAGCCAGTGGAAGCATCTTAGATATTCCATGCCACATAGGAACTGACATCATCTCAGGAGCACCTTCTATTAACCTATCCTGTAAAAGCCCTTAAAGGGAACAGGGCAAAAGCTCATGGAATATGAGGATTTTACTTAACATTTCTAGCATAAAGAGAAAATAAGCTGTGACACATATCTTCTGCTTCCACTACCCTTCTCCCCTCATTCTTCCCACAATTGCCTTGATGTGATTAGCTTTTTACTTCATTTCCTGTCAAAGATTCCTTGTAACTCTTCTGGTCTACCCTATAATTTACCCACCCTTGTGACTATTCCTAAAGGATAAGTGAAATATGTGGAGATAAATTAGCTTGATGACAATGGAATATAAATGGGGAGGTATATAGAAAATTAAATTTACTCTACATGTGAAATGTCTGGTATATAGTAATTATTTCAAATACAATTATTACGCTACCTAGAAATATAGCTTATAACTTGATCAAATGTCAAGTAACGGCTTCTTGATCTCAGATTACAGTCAGGAATGTAGTTAACTGCATCTGACTGTAAAAGGTATCTAGATTATTTGCCAAACTTTTAAAAAATCCTGTGAAGTGATAGGTAGGGATGGGAAATACAGCAGAGCTCAACAGCGTAAATTATCCATCGGAAAAATGGCTATAAGAAGCTTGAGGATAAGGATTCATTATTTTTGTTAACAAATCTGAGAAATCAGATATACCATGGAATGAGGGAGAATTTCCGTAAAAATCTTACTCTTTATGAAACTTGTTCTTCAAATTTCAAACCTCAGTGTATTATGTGATTTGTAACAAAGGCCAAATGGTACCAAACAACTGATTCTAGCCCTTAAAGGAGGGACTCTTACAACTACCCATGAATATCTTATTTATGTTAGAGCCACAAATGAGTCAATATGTAGTTGGTAAAATATTATGAATGTATATGCCATTATTTATCTCTCATACTATTTTAAACAGAGTTTAGCTAGATAGTCTGCAGATTTGTACTGACTATAAATCATAGCTCTTCCTGCCAAGTCAAACCATATACTAACATAATTATTCTAGGATTTGGGTGTTAGCCTTTTGCCTCCGAGACACAGGTATTATTTTAATTAAGTAATGTGATCATTATATTATTAATCAATTTCCAGACAGTTCTTCTTTCCCAAAGCTCAAATATTTTACATTTATGAAATTCAAAGTGCTCTCCCCATAATAATGGCGGTTATTTTCTTATGTTATACATTTCACCACCAGTGCTTTCAGAGTGTTCCCCCTAAAGTTTCCTGAACACTACTGAACTCTCACTCATCATGATATATTAATTATTGTCTCTAGTCTCCTGGATCCAGCCTTTCTATAAAAATTTCTCTAGACTTGTCTAGTACTGTTCTGTTTTTTCATAAACCTCGATATGTACCTCTACCTTTACCATTAGCACATTGTGTTATCTGTCTACTGTTTACTCCATGAGTCTGAGATTTCCTTGTTATTTCTTTTATATGAGATACATGTATTCTTTCAATTACAATTCTACCTGTCTTATTAAGAAGCGACTTGCGTTTTTCTAGTCTTTCTAAGACTATCCAAAAGCCAATTTCTTTTTCTCTCATCCTAAAAACCTGACTGAAATTTCAGCTGGAAGGGTGAGACAATGATAAAAATGATAGACGGACCTCTAGGTCTGGGTTAAAGTAAGGTGCCATTGAATTATTCAGTAATGTGGCAGAGGATACTCTTTGAACTGTTCAAGTAATGGTATGGATCATTGACTGGAAAATATCTATAATGCATATCTTTTCTTGAAGCACAGTTTGTTTTCATACCTTGCCACTTCTCTGCCAAGTTTTTTAGCCCCTTTAGTTTTCAACTTTAGTATCTAGAGTTAATTTAATCCTATTAGCTCACTTGCCTTCAGACCTCAGCATGTGAAAATCTTTTGGGAAATCCTCTAAAGATGAGATCATCTAGCCAAGAGAATAAAAAAAATCTGAGCATAGAGATGCTAATTTAAACTATAAACCAAGAAATCTATATTTGCCTTGATATTTTTACTTATCAAATTCCAAGAGATAATTTTCTGTATTATCCCAGAAAGTCATTGTTGAGAGGCAGTAAAGTATATAGGATTTGGAATCAGACAAACATGAGCTTGAACCCTGAACTCATACTCTTAAATTATTCTTCCAGGGAAATTCTTTTACATCTCTCAGCCTCAGTTTCTTTCTGTAATGTAGAAATAACAATCTCCAAAGGATTGCTGTGCTCTGAAAATTTGTGACTATCTGAAGTGTTTAGCACAATATGTCACGTAGACGTGGTAGACATATAAGTAATGGTAATTCTTTTAACTTCCCTCACAACATTCCACTGTGATCACCCCATATCTTAGATATAAATTCTACCACGAAACCTGTAGATTGCCAATGTTTCCTGGTTTCCAGGAGGTCACAGCCATACAGGCAACATGTTAGAAAAGAGGTAACCAGTGCTCTTAAGAGTCAGAAAAGCAACCTTAATTTATTCAAATACAATAGAATATTTTTATTCAAAGGGCCACTGAAGGAAGAACATGTTTATTTGGCCATCGTCCATGTAGGTGGCCTGAGAGGGCAGCCCATGATAATTACATTCTTATGTTACATACTTTGTCAGTATTTTAGAATGCACTTGTTAAAGGATCTGAACTTTGTTGGATTCATCACTCTATATTCCTCAACTATTGTTTCTAGTATTTGACTTCACACTCTCTATAAGAAGAATGCTATAAAAAGATTACAAATCACCAGGCACAGTGGCTCACACCTGTAGTCCCAGCACTTTGAAAGGCCGAGGTGGGTGGATCACCTGAGGTTGGGAGTTCGAGACCAGCCTGACCAACATGGAGAAACCCCATCTCTACTAAAAATACAAAATTAGCCAGGCATGGTGACACATGCCTGTAGTCCCAGCTACTCAGGAGGCTGAGGCAGGAGAATCACTTGAACCTGGGAGCAGAGGTTGAGGTGAGCCATGATCATGCCATCGCTCTCCAGCTTGGGCAACAAGAGTGAAATTCCATCTCAAGAAAAAAAAAGAAAAGAAAAGAAAAGAAAGAAATATTACAAATCATGTATAAAGGAAACATCCTAGAGACAAATGTAACCTGAAATATAAGTTACTGTCTATTAAAATTACCAAATATTATTCTAGATAAATGCTCATTCCTTTATTTTAAATAATACTGCCACCAGTAGGGACTGGGACCTGCAAGCAACTCAATATTTTTGGCTTTTCTTGCCTCCAATGTGGAAGTAGACTTTGGGTTAAGCAATCTCTCAGGTTCTATAGGATCACTTCTACAACCCATCTCTGGTGATACACATCTCTGAAGGTCAGGAGGGGGTTTAAGAGTCTCATGAGGATGCAAGTCAGGGAGAGGGCTAAAGAATCACTTTTTTCTGAGACATCTCCCTGCAAAGAACTCTGCTTGTATGAGCTCAAGGCTTATCTATCTCTTGGTGTTCTACACTTAGAACTCAGGTATCGGCTCCCCAGCTGGCAGTTCCCTCTCCTAGAATGAAGGATAAGAGTCAGTAAACAACTGAAGATCCTTAAGGAAATGAGATTGCCTGATAATGGGATGGAGATGGGGGTGGGGGTTAAGTGGAGTCAGACTATCCAGGACAAGGCTCTCATTCCTGGATTTTTGAAGGAAAAGGAACTAAGTGAACTAGTTGCCAGGACAACCTGCTGTTGGGGAGCGGGGTTGAAGAAAGAAATGGGTGACCTGTGGTTATTCTTGCTCCTGCCCCTGTCAGCCTTCCATGGAGTCAAAGGCTGTTTAGAGTGTGACCCCAAATTTATAGAGGATGTTGGCTCCTTGCTGGCAAATCTGATACCCTCAGAAGTCCCTGGCCAAACTCAGCTGCTTGAATGGCAGATTAAGGAGATGATTAGTTTAAGCTTCAAGGTCTCCCACAGTGACAAGAGGCTTCGGGTGTTGGGTGAGGGAAGCTTGAGTTCCTGAGAGTCCAGGGGCTTAAATAGAGAAGGGAGGCAAGGAAGAGAACACCTGGGTCTACATAACTTCCTACATAGATATAATTATTCCCCTACATGTACCTTTACCCTTCCTCTCTAGCTGTTCAACAGGTTGTTAAGTTGAGAACATGGCTGAAGAATGAATTTTATAAACTGGGCAATGAAACATGGAAAGGTGAGGTACTGCTTCAATGTTAGAAGTCTGTATTGCTCAAGCAACCCTCAGAAAATTTGGCTGGAGAAAGCAAAGAACAAAACAGAATTAAGTTCTGAAGGGAAGAGCTACTTCTATTGTTTGATACCCCTTCCACTCCCTCTTAGGTGTCTTTATCTTTCAAGGCAAGCTTCTGGAGGTCCGCCAAAACCTGGAATCCAAACTGAAAGAATTACTAAAGAACTTCTCTGAAGTTGGTAATTAAAACTTTCTATATAACAGCACTGAAGTTATATGAAGGGAATAGAAAATGAGGGATAAGGGAAGAAATGCAAGTTCATAATAGAGTTATTTAGAATGGGTGGAGAGGCAACTGGAACTTAAAGGGTAAACAAAGACTACTTGGGTATAAATATGGCAAACTGTAGCTGGTTTTAAACTCATTAGAACCTTCTGATTCTCTTCTAGCGTGTTCTGAAGATTGCAGTGAGTACAGTACATGTGACGCCTTGAGGTTTCAGCCCATATTTTCCCATCTCCTTTGCTCTATATGGCCCTATCTCTCCCACCTGTTACACTGGGAATCCAATTCCTAGAGCTGTGGTTACAAGGGGTAATGTCAATAATACCTGATAACAAAACCTAGCTCATGAAATCTCAGACACCCCACATATTTTGGAGGTACTAGGAGGCCTCCTAACATATGGTTTACAACCCATTGCCCCAGTATAAGCCAAGGCATCCTTTTCCCACTTTTTCCTAGAGATCTGACTTACAGATTTTGATCCACCAAGACCACACTTGGTGTATGACTAAGGAACTCTCGTGCCATGTCCTCTTTCTGATAATCTTTCTTTTCCTCTTTATCAGTTGTGGTTGAAGGTCCCATACTTGATTGTTGGATGTGTCTTCGCATGACCAACAGGTGCTTCAAAGGAGAATATTGTGGAGGTAACAAAGATTGTGGTATGGAATTTTGAAGGGACAGGGATCAAGGAGAAGGGTTGTTCACTGATTTATTCAATACATACTTGTAGAGCATCTTCAATGGAGGTCATGATAGTGTTACAAAATGGAACTAGGGTGTTGGGTGAAATTTTGACCAGTATAAATAATTTGGCACTGAATCAATTGAAAGGCTGAGAAATGAAGAGGCTAGGCTTGGAATGAAGAAATTAGGCTGGGAAGAATTTTGCTGACAGTTATCAGCAACAGTTTTGTAGAACCTAGGAGACTAAAAGTAATAAAGGTCAAAATAACCATGGAAGAGTGATGAAGTAGTAAACAGGGCAAACTGAGGTTAAAAGAGTTTTCTATTCTGAATAAATGTCCCAAGCTATTTCTCTTCTCCAAACTCACTTTCATATTTTCCTGTTTCTGCTTCCAGATGAGGATCCAAGGAAGGCTGAGAATCGAGAGATTGCTCTATTTCTCATATTGCTGGCAACAGTTGTAATACTGGGAAGTGCTGTGTTACTGTGAGTTTCCTCTCTCCAAATAAACACTGGGTCACATATTCCTTTTGCCAAGAGACTGCCCAAATTGCCTCTTTCCCCAAATGGAAATAAGGCAAAAGAAGTCATTTTAAATTCTGGGATACTGAAAGGAACAAAATGCAAAGTTTGATGGGATAATAGTTGGAACAAAAGGAAATGGAGAAGAAACCAGCAAAGGAAAATACATTGTATAATTGGCTTAAAGAATGGGGCTACTGGCCGGGCGCGGTGGCTCAAGCCTGTAATCCCAGCACTTTGGGAGGCCGAGACGGGCGGATCACGAGGTCAGGAGATCGAGACCATCCTGGCTAACACGGTGAAACCCCGTCTCTACTAAAAAATACAAGAAAATTAGCCGGGCGAGGTGGCGGGCGCCTGTAGTCCCAGCTACTCGGGAGGCTGAGGCAGGAGAATGGCGTGAACCCGGGGGAGCGGAGTTTGCAGTGAGCTGAGATCCGGCCACTGCACTCCAGCCTGGGGCACAGAGCAAGACTCCATCTCAAAAAAAAAAAAAAAAAAAAAAAAAAAAAAAAAAAAGAATGGGGCTACTGATATTGAAGTTGGGATTATTTTCTTTTCCTACTCTAGATTCCATTTTTGCATCTTTCATCGGAGGAAAATGAAAGCAATACGAAGGTCACTAAAGGAATATTTGGAGAAGAAACTTGAAGAATTAATGGGGAATATAGATGAGGAGGAGGAGAAAGACTTTAGACTCAGAAAATAAACACATCAGCATGGACAAGAAGTCTTTCATGATTCTCTTAAGTGTTGACTTTAAGTACAAAACTAGGAGTTAAACCCTTTCTTGGTCATAAAGTCAAAGAATTTTAAAACTGAAATAGAACTTAGAGTTTCTCTAGTGAAGATGCTTATTGATATCCCGACATGATGGAAGTAATGAGAGAGCAAATGATTTGGCCAGAGTTGTACAGAAAGTAATGCTGGTATGTTGCAATGCATAGGAAAGATAATATGCTGAATAATAAACAATGCATTGTTAGTAACTCTCATTAATGGCTGTAACAAGGATAACTTTCACATTTCTAAGGCTGCTTTTTATTTTACTGTTTTGTTATTGTTTTCGTATTTATCATTAGGTTCAAGGTGGACAGTTTTCCTTAATACACAACATTTAGTCTTCATCCTTACACACATACACGCACACACAGAAAAAAAAAAGGCCCAAAGTATTAGTCCTGAGTAGCTGAGGTTTGCCCCAATTATTTCCCCCTAGATCTATGTTCCAAGGCCAAGCTGGATATGATAGTTTTTTAAATTATTTTTGGTTGTTTCCATTGAATACTTTTTTAGTATGTGTAGCACTCTAAATAGTGCTTTATGTGTATTATCCATCTGAATTCTCACAACACCCCTATGGGTAACATTGCTATTATATCTGCTTTAGGGATGAATAAACAGAAGTATCTCTAACTCAAGGTCACACAGGTAACTAATCTAAGCTATGACAAACTCCACTCCTCTAGTGGCTGACCTCTGATCATCCAAACCATTTGATTGATATTGACAGCTATCAGCATATAGCTATGGTACATTAATGGAGAGATAATTGTGGCTTTATTGTCTTTATACACTCTTCATTACACAGTTAGAATGTGGCAAAGTCTGAAATAAAGTTGATGCCTGGTTAACTGTACAATTTGTGACCTTTTCACCCTATTTTGTTTCCTTTTATTCTGGAACTTATTTTAGAAGATAAAAACCATCATTCAGCAGCAAGAAATAGTTTCAAGGGTCCTGCTTCAGGGGTGGGTACAAGTATTTGTAAATCTTTCACACATAGATCTCTGAGTGCTTGCTTATAGTTGCTGTTATAATAATGAGATAAATGAGAATGCATTTGATGAGGACCTGAACCTAGATATCTCTCAAGTGCTAAATTTGAAATTCATGTAAAATTCCCAGATAAGAGCGTTGTCAGGCATCTACCATTTCCCAATGATTTAACGTTCATCTCCTCAAATATCTTGTTGAGATGTATTAACTTCATTCACAGTCTTAATTATTGTCTTTAAATTTTTTTTTTCATTATAACTATATGCAAATGGAACAACATACTTTCTAGATTTTAAGATATTTTTGTTCTGTGGATATTTATTTATACACTTTATATCTATTTTATTTTATTACTTTTTATACGTACATTTTATTTCATATACTTAAGGTATTAACATATTGGCTTGTTGTTCCTTTTCCCTTCTGCTGCTACTCCACACTCATCACTCCTTTCTAGCAAATGTTGGATAACAATTTAGGATAGATCTTTCATGTTTTTGTTAAAGCCTAAATAATTAAAAGTAAATATACATACACATGAACACATTTATGGATGATTTTTTTTTTGAAATTAAAACAATTATAAACACCTTTTCACATGTTGATTTTCGTACTTGCATACTTTGTGGAAATCATTTAAGTAATATAACTCTAATTCACTATTTTGGTAGTTATATACAACACCATAGTGTGGGGGCACCATAGTTATTCCAATATTCCTCTACTGATGGGAAATCTCTTAATGTTCCTTTTTATTACTGTGCATAATTCTGCAGTAAATACCTGTGTACATATATCTCTACTTACTAATACTTTTATTTATAAGAAATCATGTTACAGAATTGGGATATCAAAAGGAAAGTTATATGTACTTTGAAATGCGATGACTGTGACAGAAATGATGTAATAATTTGCTTGTATAACAGTAATAACCAATTGTTCATGTTTGCCACATCCCCACCAGCAACAGGTAATACAGCTCTTTTAAATTTTGCAGTCTGATAAATACAATAATCAATTTACTTATATCCTCTACTGTGTCAGCATCTTTACACAGGATTCAGTGCCATTTGAATTAGTCCCACAGTGAGTTACCTATTCATATACTTTGCTAATTTTAATCCAAGTATTTTTTTCTGCCAATTTAAAAGAGGTTCTTCCATAACATAAATATTAACTCTAGCATCTCTTTTGCAGATGCATTTTTCTCCAAAGCTATCATTTGCCAGTTGAATATTTAAGACGTTATTTTATCTATCTATACATCTAACCACTCTGGGTCTTTTTACCCATATCACATAAAATAAAAACCCATTTATTTTCACATATTCACTCTATAACCAACTACTTAATAAATTTGTTTTTTAATTTTATTTTAAAGTCTCTTGCATTTTGTAGATATTCAGTCATACTTCAATCCAAAACAAACATTTTCTATTTTCTTTTCTATTAGTACCAATCATTTTGCTTTTTTAATTCTAGTGTATTTGTAAGAATCTTGTCAGTCCTGAATAATAACATAGTTATTATTTTAGAAAGAATGAGAACTCTTTTTTTTTTAATTTATTTTTTATTATTATTATACTTTAAGTTCTAGGGTACATGTGCATAATGTGCAGGTTTGTTACATATGTATACTTGTGCCATGTTGCTGTGCTGCACCCATCAACTCAACAGCACCCATCATCTCGTCATTTACATCAGGTATAACTCCCAATGCAATCCCTCCCCCCTTCCCCCTCCCCATGATAGGCCCCGGTGTGTGATGTTCCCCTTCCCGAGTCCAAGTGATCTCATTGTTCAGTTCCCACTCAATCATTATATAAGTGTAAGTCTGTAAACAGCAAATGCAGATAAAGTTAAAACATTAAGTAACTCTTAAGGAAACTGTAAATTATTATATTGGGATTATTTCATAAAACCTGAAATTATATTAGAACACCCATTATAGTTACTTTTTTGAGGTTAAAAAATTCTAGCCCTATGGAGAAGAATTTTAATGTGCAAGTGTCTTTACGTAATATCACTGCCTTGAGATGGTCAAATCTTAAAATCCTTCATGAACTGGTTATATTTTATAATAAATTAGGTCAATCCTTATCAGTAATATGATTTCTTTGTCTTCTTGGTCTCCAAATATACAAAAGATTGTCCAGGAACCAGAAAAAGAAATACCTTAGCAGATAAGAAAGTACCTAGGAAACTGTCACAAGGAAGAAAAATTTTCTCTTCCTCAAGCTTGCTTAGCTCTGTTAATAATCTCGTTATCTCTTTTTGTGACATGCGATTTTATGTAAAAGAAACAGAAAGAGAAGCAAAATTGCCAAAATAAAACAAACCATATTAATATTATGATTAAATATTGATTATAAAATCAAACAAGCTTTGTGCCCAAAAGTTAGGGAGAAATAATTACATGCCTTAAGAAAAAGGAAACTAAAAGTAGATGAAGGATAAGGGAGTTTAGATAAAAGCAATAGATGCCAAGGTCCTCATCATACATACATGTACATGCATACATATGATACCTTTATTCTTTGTTATGAAATATTGGAGTGTGACTCTTTAGGGAAGAAAATATATGACATCCACAATTTCAAAAAGAAAAAGAGGGGAGAAATCCTATTGATTCAATAAAAGCAAGAGAGAAACAAAAAATGGCAAAATGAAACGCAATAAGCATAATAAATATGTAGATGAAGTAAACATATCAATCAGAAGATCAACTATTAGATTGGATATTTTAAAATCTAATTATAGGCTACTCGTAAGATAGCAACCTAAAACAACATGAGAAGCTAAATGTGAAATTAAAGAATATCTAGCAAAACTTACCCAAAATAAAGCAGGCGTTTATTGATATTAGCCAGAAGAGAATTTAAGCCAAAGAACACTAACAAGAATAATGTGATAATATAATACGAAATCATATGAGCCTAACAATATAGTCTTCTGATTTTAAAAAAGGAAAAAGATTTTCACAACCATGATGGGAAAGTGTAGTCCTCTCATTTAGAATCTGATAAATCTAAGGAAAAAATGTTAATAAGACTATAATTTGTAGAACACAATGAACAACTTTAAATGACATGATGCATTGAACTCCATACTCAACTAGTAAATCGATTTTTCTTCTTTCTAGTGAAGAAGGAACATATATAAAAATTAACATGTATGGTTTGAAAGACACCAGCTGGTTTTCTCCTAACTACATCCCTTTCCTCTTGGACACATAGTTAAACTACATTTCTCAGTCATCCCTACTGTTCGATGGGCTGTGAAGCTGAATTCTGGCCAATGGAATGTGGGTGAAAGTGTATTAAATGTTTTCAGGAGCATCTAAATTTAAGGGACAATCCTCCAGCCTCTTTCTTCCCTGATTAATGGTGGGATGTCAATATACAGGAATAACTTAGAATCCTGAAGATGCTTCTTAGTTGGAGAATTTGATTTAGATTTCATGAGTGAAAAATATTTTTGATTAAGCTTCTGATATTTTTAGAACTAGCATTAACTGATCTAATACATAGGCCAAAACGGAAATTTTAACAAATTCCAAAGAACTCATATTATAAAGAAAAATCATTCAGACCATGAGCAACAAAATTAAAACCACAAAGGATGTTGCCTTATTATATATATTGGAAACTGAAAAATTCTATCTGTAAATAATTCATGAATTAAAAATGAATCTATGAAGCAAATTACAAAATACCGCTACATAACAATAAAAATATTACCTATCAAATCTTGTGAAATGTGCTAACTAGGCATTTAACAATATAACATCCTAATCATATATATCAAAAAGATTTTAAAATATATACATATTTAAATACATATGTATATATGTATTGAACAGGGTATTTAAGCAGATAGAAGGGCTGGGCGCAAAGGCTCACATCTGTAATCCCAGCACTTTGGGAGGCCGAGGTGGGTGGATC